AAATCTAAAGCAAAAGCAAACCAAAATTACACTCAGCCTATTTGTATCATGCATTTACACCAATGTAAATAATATTTGCACGGCAAAAAATGAGGCTTTTATTTCATTTGCACTAATTGGGAGTGCAAAGTTTTCATCCAAAAAGCTGATGTAAAAGTTGCACCAAATTCCTCCTACCTTGATCCTCTCTCATATGAAGTATAGAGCACATCATTTTACTTCCTACTTTACTCCCCACAAACAAAAAAATCCTCTTCTTGACTTCATTATCTTTAGTATGAAGTGGGGACTACATCATTTTACACCAGTCAAATTTGAAGCAAAAACAAATGGGAATATACACTTAACCCATTTGCACTCACTTGAATTTACACCAGTCAAATGAATGGAGACAAAATACAAATGATGGCTCAAATTATGAAAAAGGCCATTACCCAATCTTGGTCACAGATTCATAGGTCCCAACCAAAGTTCACACGGCCCATTTACACTCATTTGAGTTTGGATGGATCAAATTATGAAAAAAACCATTAACCAAATGTTTGGTCCGAGACTCCTAGCTACACGAGTGTTGGGAGGGGTGGACTGGACGCCAAAACCTAACCTTTGGCATACTTTGGCATTAAGTGACTGCTCTCAAACTATTGATTCTAACACTTATCAACACAAGATTTTACTATCACACCAAGCAATGGCACATTGGCTCAAATTATATGAACAAAATAGGTTGCAATTATCATGTGTTCTACAAAAATAGGTTGCAAGGCATTGTTGAATGAATGATGTTGATTGTTTTTGTGAACTGCTCATTAGTTCTAACCATGCTAATTTTGGTGCATGCAATCTTTTAAAGGTGAACAACGGTGGGTACCGTTCCTTTATACATGGACACTAATTAGGCCATGTTTGGTTTCAGATAAACATAAAGTTGAGGGAAAATTCGTTAACGATGTATTTGGTTTGAAAAAAAAAAGGTAGGGAAATCCATAGAATACTACTTTTTCTTTCAAACCAAACACAACCTAAGACTATGTTTTGTTTGAAGGAAAAATAGGGAAAGGAAAGGAAACTTATACAAAGTTTGTAAAGGATTCCTTACCTTTTCCTTCATTTCTCTACTTTTTCTTCAAACCAAAAACAGCATAAAGGAATTTTGTAAAACTAGCAAATGTCCATGTGCTTTGCACATGACAATTGTAGATGATGAGGATACGTTGTACAAATTGTTCTATATTTTTCTATTATTTGTATTTGTTGTACATATTTTTGGCACACTAGTCACGTGTGCAAACATGTTTGCAATAAGACAAAAGGGAGCTGATATAGACCCCCCCATAATTCAATAATTTGGGATATTTACACTTTTCCAGACCTAACACTGTGTTCTTAGATGTTTGGTTCAACCTAGAGCCAAACCAGGCCCTGAGGTCAGATCCTACTTCGGCCTGGAATTTTCGACCTAGAGACCCACCTCGGCCTGAAGCCCTGAAGCCCAGAAGCCCTTCAGCCTTCAGCCTAGGGATCTAATTCAACCTGGTGATTTGGGCTCATGTGCCCTAGACCTGACCCACATAGGCCCATACATCATAGACATATACATTCTAGACCTAGTTACCCAATAAGCCCAAGGTGGATGCTCTATGCTTTTTTTCGAAGCCGCGTCTACTCATCTACCTTTTTTATGTGAGAAAGTGGTTTGCCCTAGAAGGTTAACATGACCATGGGTAGTGTGGGGTCCACAATGGGACGTTCATTAGATAATTGCATGGAAACGTGTAGAAATGATCTCTTGAGTATTTCTTACTCTTCTTCTAAAACTCATTATGATCATCACATCACATTTTGTTTCAATTTCTAAAAATGTCATTTTAATTGCATTTTCTAAAATATTATTTAATTTCATTTTCTCCCCACTATAAATAAGGGTGGAAGGAGCACATTGGAAGAGAGAGAAAACTTAGATTAGGAGGTTGATCGTGTCTACAAAACACCTTTCTCATCTCTTCACTAAGGCTATGCTTGGTTTGAAGGAAAAGGTAAGGAAAGGAAGGAAAATGTTGAAAAACCTATACAAAGTTTGTAAAGGTTTTCCTACTTTTTCCTTCAAACCAAACACATTGTAAATGGAAACCCTTTCATGGCCTAAGGCTCCTTCTTCCTCTTCTTTTCCTGCACCATTGTGAAGGCACTCAAGAAATCATCCTACGTCATGGCAACATCCTCAAATGCCAGGCAGGTGGTGTGGTAGAAATACACCCCCATAGTATTTATTTTAATTTTATAAATTTCATTTTTTATATCTTCGGTTGAGCCATTTGGCCTAGATGATTGATTCACTTACCCATCACTGGATAGAAGAAAGATTTCATTTTTGGGTTAATTTTAAAAAGCATCAGTTTTATATTGTTAAAAATCAATAATATGGATGATATATCTAATTAATAGAATTTATGGGTGAGAAAAAATACCTCCAATATAAGATTTAATGAGAAAGAACGAGATCACTATCTCAAATATAAATTTTAATGAGAATGAAATGAATGAGTAAAAAGTAGTTTAAATTACATCTTATATATTCACAATCAGAGAGGGATCAAAGTTCCACAAACCCCTTCATACTTTTGATAGTAATATAAGTATATATATATATATATATATATATATATATATATATATATATATATATATATAAACTATAAAAATATAGATTATTTAAAAAAAAAACACCTTTAATTTTGAATTTCTCTCTTTGCTGTCAAACCAAACACAACCTTAACAACTAAAAAGTAGAACTGTTCGGCTACCAGCCTACCATGTCATGCATATAAGGTGGGACCCATACCTAACTTGGTCACACAGCAGCCTAGTATTCTCACATGTCCAACCATGTATGTTGGTGAGGCATCCAAAGAGTTGCATAAACACATTTATCTTCCTCTGTTCCCTAATCCAGCTGGCAATCTGGCATATTCTTAGTGCAGGGTTGGTACTTAGATTTGGGCAAATTGGCTGAACTCGAATTATGGTTGGATCTGGAAGGCGAAAATATCTCACACCAAATAGCTGGATGACCTGAAGCCGAAGGCGGGTAGTGGACGAGATGCTCCCATTGAGATATTTCTGCACAAAATATCCTACTGACACGTGTCGGTCATGACCCAGACATGTAGCACACCGACTTATCTATTCGCCCTCCCGCTCTTGTCTAAACTACCGAATTGCCACATGTCCCGTTGTGGCGTGTCCCTTTGACAGTGACTCCGCAGGTGGCAACGGAGACACGAGGACACCAGTCACCACTCTTGTTCCATCAACCCTACGTTGCTACAATGCTACCCTCTCGAATACCCATGCATCTTTGACCATGGGCTTAGGGTCCACCTTGATTGTAGGCCACATCACCTGCAGATCAGATTGGGGGCCCATAAAGCTGATCGTGTCTCTCATGTTTTAGAGCATCAAGACGCATTATGGGTCCCCCACTTCCATTACTTAGGATAAGAAATTAAGAACCAAGCAATTAGTTTCATAACAACGTTTCTAAAATCAGATTTTTGAAAACGTTTTCGCTCAGAAAGTGTTCGTGATTTCTTGTTTTTAGGTAGTGCCTTGGATAATCGATATAATTCTTATGAAAAATTAGAGCGGTCAATGGATCGGGTGTGGAATGAGGAATCAATCCCAAACAAGTTTCAGTAGAGAACTGAACCAATTATCAATCTGGTTATATTTGACATTACAATCATCTATGATAATAATAACTTAGAATTAGGGGTGCAACTTTTTTGGGTTAGGATCGGAATTTTGTCAAAATTTCAATGGTTTCAACTCGTAGCCCGAGCCTAAAACAGTGTAAACTGTTAACTCAGGCCAACCCGACTTGCACTCTTACTTAGAATTGCATTTTCGTGATAAACTTCAAGTAAATAATAAACTATTTATATATTAATAAAACAAGTGTTTTAACCAAAATTATCTTATGTATTGTTTATTAAATTTATCCTTTGAGATAAAAAAAAAATATAACAAAAAAACTAGGAAACCTTATATATTTTACCTATACAATCGACTCAGGTCCTAATTGTTTTGAAACAGCTCAACCCAATTATCAATCGAAACACAGACTACAAAATCAAAATTAACATAGTCAGTTCAATCGGTTTGGTTCTATCAGCCAGATTTGAGTATTTGACCCATTGGCAGCTCTATAAAAATACATAATAAGCCAAAACCTATTTTTTGCCAAATCTTATAAGAGAAGTATTCTTTTGCTGGTTTTCACAAACCAAGAGGTCACAAAGGGTTACAAAAAATGTCATCTCTCATGCTAAGGGAATTTTTGGTATTATTGTCGTTTTTTCATATAATAACCACATTCTGAAATTCGGTAAAGTAATTTTGGGTTATGTACTTATTTTATATTGATATTTGGTGCCTATTAGGTATCATACAGGTAAAATTATAAACACAATGTTTTTTGTTGCAAAAAAAATGAAATAAATTTTTTTTTCCAGAAATTGTTCTACTTAAACAACTTTAAAATGTTAAATATTTTCCTTATCATTTATGGGAAGATATTCATGTGGGATCATTTTGGAAGGAACACAAATACAAATATGTACGGTACAAAATCTTGTACACGGTACATATTTGTACTTGTACCCCGCTTCCGAACTGAGCAAAACAATTTATGAAATGATGTAGATCCTCTTCCCTATTTCTTCCACTACGGTGCAACTGCAACGTTGTCGTACTGAAGTGCCAAACACTAAAAATCTCAAAGTCAATCCAGCCCGGTAAATCAGTGGGCCACGCGGGCCGCGCCTTTAGCAAGGCCACCTTTTGGAATTTGGACCCAACTACTAACGGTTTTCTGGCTTTCTATATGTCAGAGAGAAAATTTGAGGTATTTCTGTAAATTCATCAACAAATCCGACCAATTTTCTAAGCATTTTCTCTACATATAAGACCACATCTTTCTCCTCCCCAAGCACAGGTGGTGCCCTTCGCTTTAGCTACCGAAATAGCAAACCAGAGAGAGAGAGGGAGAGAGAGAGAGAGCGCGCGAGCGAGCTGAGATTTGTTTCAGTCGCCATGGACGAAGAGTATCAAAGCTCAGGGAAGAGGCTAAAATGCGCTGAATCGGAAGAAGAACAAAGCAAGCTTCCCTTGAAGCCAGACAGCTTCTTCTATCCGATGACGCCGTCGTCCATCGTCGTATCAGATGCTTTGGAGCCTGACTTTCCGATCATTTACGTCAACACCGTATTTGAGATCTTCACTGGATACCGTGCCGACGAAGTCCTCGGCAGAAACTGGTACCTACTCATTCACTTATTCGACGCAATTTGTTTAATTCATGCATTTCTATGCTCTTTTTCTTTCGAATTCATTATGATTGCTCGATTTGTTTCAGTTTATTCATCGTTTTTTAGTAAAATATATTGGTATGATCACTAAACTGGCTGTGGATTTTTTATTGTTAATTAGGTTGTTTCGGACAATCAACTGTTGTTTCATAAATTGTGAAGGCTCTCTGGTTCCAATTCGAAACGTAAACTTTCCTACTTTGTTCTGTAACCCAATTTCTTTTGTGGAAAGAAATTATCAGAAATATCTGCTTAGCTGTGGAAATTTTTTTTTCTATGATTTATAAAGATGGAAGCTTTGCGCCTCCAGACTCAAATGTTATCAGTGATATTTGATGTTTTGAAGGCTTGTTTCCCATTTTTAACTGTAAAAGTTAGCTCCTCGTAAAAAGTTGTGTTTTTCTTTGGGAGGAAATGATTCTAAAGATGTCTGAATATGCTGCCTAATGTCGAAGTTCAGATGCATAAAAAGAAATAAAATAAGGCCAATGAAACCAAAAGTCAGAATCGGGTTTTAAGACATTTTATGTTATCAAGTTAATTTCTCCGATTATAATATGGCCCCGCAGATTTTTATTGGGTTTATTGAATGTAAACCCGTGGATATATAAGAGACTTTTCATTCATAAAAAAAAAAGATATATAAGTGGCTTTTTAGATCTTTGAAGTAGTTAATTCTTCTGTCAAGTTTTCCTCCAGATACATTCTATAAATGATATATTATTGGGTTTGAATCCCATTGTTTGAAATTCATGGAGCATACAGGTTGAATGTTTTCTATAGATGCTGTTTGGAGGCAATTTGCTTTTATCTTTTCATAATGGTTTGTTGTAGCATTTGAAAAGAACAAACAGAAACAAGATCTCCTGAAATAGGAATTAGTAAGTTTCTTGAAATATGAGGTGAAAACCAGTCAAATTGTTTTGTTTCAAGTGGTTTCAGTAATTACTATGGCTCTTAATTGGAATTATGCCCCCCACTTCTAACTATCCACTGTCACCAGGTATTCCATATTTATCTCAACTTGCAACCTATATCCAGGAATGTACCAAACCAAATATCAGCCATAGCACTCTGGTTTGCTAAGAGAGGATGAAATGGGAGTGGCTCAGAAGATGCGAGGAAACACTGCTAGAAGAGTAAGAGATATTTCTATAAGCCTAGGAAGAGTATACTGACCTGTTTTCCCTTAGGTGAATGCATTTATAAGCAAGATTCCCCTGTCAAAATGGCTATCAAGCAAACAGGGGAGGCTTTTCTTGCAGCCCCTATTTCACAGTCCCTATGCTCTCTCTCAGCTCAGCCTGAAAGCTAATGAGGATGCAGATATTCTGATAACCATAACAGGGGTTATGACTATCTGCCATCTGACCAACCATCACCAGTTATTAAGATGATATATTAAGGATCTGTGAATCTTGCTTCCTTGCAACATCACGTATTCACATGTGTCTCTCATGTACGAGTATAGCTCTAGAAGCTAGTTCACTATCTCCATGAAGCCAGGGAAGTTTTTTCTTCCATTTGGGTCAAGCCTAGATTGAAACAGGAAGATCAATTCCGGGATCCAGAGCTGATGGTCTAGCCTGACTGGGTTTTGTATACTGGAAGTCCTTTACCTACTTCACCTAATTTTCTGTATATACATATGGTTGAATTGCATTTCCAACATATGAAAGAGAGGACATATTTTTTATAAGCCCATCAATTCCTGATATTGTTTTGAAGAAAGCACATCTAGATCTTTGTGAATTTTGTCTTTGAACTCATGCAATAACTGATAAAGTTTGAAACTAAAAATTTGTGCTACAAATTCAGGTATTTTGGTAGTTTATAGGAATATTTATTGGTTTCCACTTTCTTTGGCTATAGCAATCTAGACTTAATCATTTGCCCCTTGGTTTAGAATTTCGTGATGTATATATATATATATATATATATAGAGAGAGAGAGAGAGAGAGAGAGAGAGAGAGAGGGAGAGAGCGAGAGAGAGAGAGAGCTTTTTATAAGTTCATCCAAATGTATTGATTCCTTCAATAGCTTTCTCTATCATTCGGCCATGGGTCGGTTCTTCCATTTTTGTGATTTTTGTGAATATTTTACAGAGTTTGATTGTGTTTCAAACCACCTCTGCTGGCTCATTATGGAACTCTTCCTTTTCAGTCGGTTCTTACAGTATAGGGACCCACGTGCACAAAGGCGACATCCTTTGGTGGATCCTGTGGTCATTTCAGAGATTCGGAGATGTCTTGAGGAAGGAGTGGAGTTCCAAGGTGAGCTCCTCAATTTCAGGAAGGATGGCACTCCCTTGGTTAACAGGCTACAGCTCAAGCCCATACATGGCGATGATGGCATTGTGACACATGTAATAGGCATTCAGTTGTTCTTTGAAGCAAATATAGATCTTAATCGTGTCTCATATCCAGTTTTCAAACAGACTTCCAGCCAGAAGAGTGATCAATCATCTGAAGATTATCTTGTGAATGAGCAAGCTCCAAAACCTCAACATGATGACACATGTGGGATTCTGCAGCTATCTGATGAAGTCTTAGCCCAGAACATCTTATCACGCTTGACACCTAGAGATGTTGCATCTATTGGGTCTGTTTGCAAAAGGATCCGTCAACTGACAAAGAATGAACATGTGCGGAAGATGGTCTGTCAAAATGCATGGGGAAGAGAAGTCACAGGTACTTTGGAGTTGATGACAAAGGGATTAGAGTGGGGGCGTCTAGCTAGGGAGCTGACAACACTTGAGGCAGTTTGTTGGAAGAAGTTTACTGTTGGGGGTGCTGTGGAGCCTTCACGTTGCAATTTCAGTGCATGTGCCGTAGGGAACCGACTTGTTCTTTTTGGAGGGGAAGGAGTAAATATGCAGCCAATGGATGACACATTTGTTCTCAATCTGGATGCAGCAAATCCTGAGTGGCGCCGGGTGAGTGTGAAATCCTCCCCACCTGGGCGTTGGGGACATACGCTATCATGCCTTAATGGGTCATGGTTGGTGGTGTTTGGGGGATGTGGTAGGCAAGGATTACTCAATGATGTTTTTGTGCTGGACTTGGATGCTCAACAGCCAACATGGAAAGAAGTCTCGGGTGGAGCTCCTCCACTCCCTAGATCTTGGCACAGCTCATGCACAGTGGAAGGCTCAAAATTGGTTGTCTCAGGTGGATGCACAGATGCAGGCGTACTTCTTAGTGACACATATCTACTGGATCTCAATACAGACAAGCCTATGTGGAGGGAAATTCCCACATCTTGGGCTCCTCCATCTAGATTGGGTCATTCACTCTCAGTCTATGGAAGGACTAAGATTCTTATGTTTGGTGGACTCGCCAAGAGTGGCCATTTAAGATTGAGATCTGGTGAGGCTTACACAATTGATTTAGAGGATGATGAGCCACAGTGGAGGCAACTAGACTGTAGTGGTGTTAGCAGCAAATCTGCAGTGGTTCCACCACCCAGACTTGACCATGTTGCGGTAAGCATGCCTTGTGGGAGGATCATTATCTTCGGTGGCTCTATTGCTGGTCTGCATTCTCCTTCTCAGATATTCCTTCTGGATCCTTCTGAAGAGAAGCCATCATGGAGGATTCTTAATGTTCCTGGACAACCTCCCAAGTATGCTTGGGGTCACAGCACTTGTGTAGTTGGAGGGACTCGAGTCCTGGTATTGGGTGGGCAAACTGGTGAGGAATGGATACTAAATGAACTGCATGAACTGTGTTTGGCAAGCATACCAGACTCAGACCATGATATCAAGTCACAAACATCACGGAACTACATCAGTCTTGCATAAACTGTCATTATGTAGACTTTTTCAGAGGCAGATCCTGTATTTTTTAGGCTACTTGAGGTTTTTTTTTTTTTTTCTTTCTGCTATCTAGAATGTCTTTACTGGTATATACTGTATGTTTTATTGAGTTGGAGTTGTTTTGTGATGCATGACAGATGCTATATGGATTCATGTTTCTCATGTGACCCTCAGAGGTGTAAATATGGTATTTTTATGTTGATATATTGCTCATTCCCAAACTTCATACCAATAATGAATCCATTGCCAAGATTTCCACTTGACCATGATAAACCTAATATACAGGACACCGGGTAGGACATTAGCATCATTCTGATCTTTCCATCTTTACCAACTTGATTTTAAGGGAGAGCCCATCTAGTGGTGTCTGTGTTTGAGTTCACCCATTGGTCATACCTTGTGAGGCCAGCAGCATCTCAAGTTGCTGCTATTACAATAAAAAAGTGTGCCAAAAGGGTTTGAGCTTACTTGTTGGGTGCAGCTATTTGTCTAGGGTCTGGATCCATCTGACCCCAAAATCTTGGTTTATGGGGACTCAGATAAGAACGATTGCTTTGCCAACTGGACACTAATACCAAAGGCAAACCAGGCATTGAACAAGGAAAGCCCACAAAGAAGAATAAAAAAAAGGAACTTTGCAATGTAGATAAGAACAAACACAAATTGTAATAAAGAACTAATAGTTTCCAATGTCTATTATAAATGGATATTTCGATATGAACATCAAGTCTTGACGTCAAACTGCAATAATCTGTATGGTATACGCCAATAGTTTGTGTCAGTTGCTTATCCAATTGATTGGGTATAAACCAAGCCAAACAAAACCGGAATCAGATTTTAATAAAAAAAAATGAAGAACTGGAAACTTTTCCTAATTTTTGTGCCACAAATAAAGAAAAACGTGAAAGAAAACAATTGTAAGGGCCAATTTTGGAGGGAGAGAGAGAGATTGCTTCAAAAAGACAAAAGGAAGGTCTTAGAAGTCAGAAACTTTCAGCATCCATGTTAAGGGTGCACATCAGATGGGCTAGACTTGGGCCTATCTTGTTCATTGAATGGGCTTAAGAGTTGGGGTCAATGAGACATGAACTGAGTACAATTTTGCCCAACCCATGTGATTTTCACAAGCCAGACGCTGCCCATGCCCATTACTAACTCCCTCAGACCCTTATCATTTGAAGCTGGGAATTGGGATTGACCCGTTGAAGACCAACATGCTCTTTTCTCAACAAAAAAAAAAAGGAAAAAGAAAAGAAAAACTGATCCGCGTAGAGAAAAAAACCTGGTATGAATAAAGTATTTCTAATTCTTTTTTTTTTTAAATTGAAAAATGAATACATATAAGAGACCATGATAACGGGTGAAGTGGCTCAACTGAGACTTATTGCTTTGTAAATTAGTGAATAAGTTATTATGCAGGTTCTGAATTTTGAGCTCCTCTAATGGCTAATGGGCGTATTCTACATTGATTACTATACCCCTAAATATTGTAGGCAAATCATTTCAACCATTATCAAACAGCAGCAAAGTACGAGCAACTACCATTCGTATACAAAGAAATGAAAAAACATCTATCAATGGACTCAAAAAAAAGAAAAAAAAACACTCATGCGCTGTAAATGTTGCACCAACAGTGCTTGGATCTACTACCCACACCTATCTACAAGACACTGATGTACGGCTGTAGGGTCTTGTGGGTGTTCTTATAAGTAGCAGATCTGTAGCCAATACTGTATGGTGTTGCACAGTCACAGTGTTGTGGAGATGCAACATTTTATAGCTGAAAGTGCAAGATGAACAATCCTACAATATCTTCCTGGTACCGATACTATGACTAGGGGTGCCAATGGACCGGTTTTGGGTGTGATTTGTTCAAATCGAAGTCAATTTGAATGGATTGAACGGACCAAAAAGACATTGAATTGAATCGGTTCAAACTTAATGGTCTAAAATGTTTATTGAATTGGAATGGACTTAGCCCATCAATAATAGATTCATACTAGACTGGATCGGATTGGACCAAATCCAGTCCAATTGACACCCCATAAACATTCAGCTGCTTTGAAACACTTCGGTATATGGGCTCCACAGATTTTTAACCAAACATAGCTTTATGCAGCTGTTTGGCATCGTTGCCGTTTCCTGGAATAACGGTGTCACATCGGAAAAAACGGTGCTCCAAGAAACGGACATTTGTTTGGAATCGTTTTTCCATAAAAAACGGTGCTCAAAGCCGTGTCTCAGAAATCGAGAAGCCATGGCTTGGAGCAATGCCAAATTTGGTGTTTCCTGGATCTATATCTCATTGCTGCCAACAGGGCATTGATGTGGCACTGGATAATGGGTACCGGTGCTGAAAACGTTTCCTGGAACAATGGTACCAAGCAGAAAAAAAAAAGTTGTTGTTGCTTTAGGAAATGTCCAACCTAGCAGCAACTATTCCAAACAAAAATAAAGGTACTGTTTTCTAAGAAAACGGTGCTGCATCTGCAACAAACCTCACAAAGCCAGGAGGCGCTGCACTTCAGCCTCTTAAACGGGCACAAGGTTTAGACCTCGATTTCACTAAATCTACGACCAGCCCAAGCCTGCTCCAAAACGAGTAGGACTAGTATATAGCTTATCGTTAAATTTCAAACAATAAGGATACACTTAGTCAATTAAGTCATGTTTTCAAACAATATACTAGTCAATTAAGTCACCATCCTCCTTATCGTTTTTCGTCGAAATTCATTCGCACGTGATATAGTTTTTTTAAAACCCAATTTTACCCTCCACCTTTAATTAGGGTGGAATGGTTAGAGTTTTGATGAACCAGCGTTTCTTTGAGTTTAGTCAGAGTCGGACAACATGGCAAGTTCGCCAAATTCGTCGGACGTGATGGTGGGGAGGTACCAGGCGCGGAAGACGATCGAGAGGTCTAACTTCTCGCAGACATGTAATTTTAGCCAAGCAAAGAAGAATCTGATGTTTTTGGCTATTTTGTTGGTTCGCTATGGTTCAAGAAAACCCAATATGTTTAATTAGAAGGCATCGATGACGACAACCCATGAATTTGTTTCCTCCACTTGCCGGTTTTGGGAATTCTTCTTCTGAAGACCAACCTATGACACCCGATTTCAGGTATCATTTGATTCACAAATACGTACAAAGAACATACAGTTTCAAAACTTAATGAAGTTCTCTTCGTTTAATTAGTTAATTACAATTTGTTTTGGGTGAAACAGACAGGCGGCAAAGGAGCCCGAGAAAGCCCAGATGACGATACTTTATGCCGGAAAAGTGCTTGTGTTCGATGATTTTCCGATAGAGAAAGCAAAGGATGTCATGCTTTTTGTAAGTAAGGCAAGCTCCCTCGATTCCAGCAGCTTGGCCTCTACTTCTGGAGGCTTTGCCTCTTCATCCCTCCATTCCAGCAGCTTGGCCTCTACTTCTGGAGGCTTTGCCTCTTCATTCAAATGTCGTTCCGATCTCTGCCAAGAATCCTAACCAAGACCGAGAATCAAAAGGCATTGATGAAAGGTTAGGGATTTGATGAATAACATTTCTTTTCCCTTTTTCCTATTTTATTTTGAAATTTTGAAAAAAAAAATAAAGGGTAAAATAGTCTTTTTACGTTAACGGACACTAATGGTAAAGAAACATTAGTCAATTTTCAAATAATAAGGATACATCTAGTCAATTAACTAAACCATAAGGGTAATTTAAGAAATTTACCCTAAAAAATAAAGAAAGAAACGCTGAAAGCCCTCCCAATTCCCAAACGGGCATTTAGAAAAAAAGGGAAAATTCCCGATAGGTACCCTATACTTTAGGCTAAGTGCCAATTTAGTATCCGAACTTTAAAACGTGACAATCTAGTACCTGAACTTTCATTTTGTAATAACTTAGTACCCGACATTAATTCACCGTCAATTAGAAGAATCACGTGATATCAGGTGCGGGTTAAATATTTTTGAAATACCAAAGCTAACCTTTTACGAAAATATATAGACCAGTTTACCCTTTTCCCTTTCTATTTCCCTAATCCCCTTTTCTCTTCAATCCGGGTTGAACGAACAAGAGAGGAAAGGAGACTTCACTCAACTCCGACTTTCCTCTTCATTCCGAGCACGCCCATTCCATCTCTTTCTCTTCAAACTTGGTTGAAGAAACGACAGAGGAGAGGAACAGTGAAGAAAGGTGGTAAGCTTCACCCCTAACATTTGTCTTCCCCAACATCTCTAGAACCGTGCATAGTTCTGATGGAGTTTTCATATGGACTTCACTTCAAAACCGTGCACAGACTTCATCTAAAGCCATCTTGCTGGAGGCATCAAAGATGGTGGAACCAAGGTTTAGCTTCAAAACCACGCACAGTTCTGATCTAAAAATGTTTTGGCGCAATTTGAACTGAAATGTGGTTCTGATCTGAACCATTTTCATATCAGAACTGTGCGCAAAATGTTTCGCCAGAAAATGTGCGCAAAGTAGTCATCTTGTCAAGCGAATGCCATCGCTGGAACCATTTCAGTTCTGATCAATGTTTCTTTGTCACAAAATAACCCATAAGCATATGATATGATTTAGGGAAGGGAAATTTAGAGAAAATGTTTGATTTTGGTTTAGTTTTGTAACTACTGATCAAAATGCTTGATTTTGCATACCAAAATCTATATCATACCAGAACTAATTAATATGGTAGATTAGTTGGTGAAAGCTTGTTTTCTCAATAAAAAAGTAAAGAATATTTTGTCTAATTTGTACCATTACGAATTTTTTTATTATAGTTGCATGTTTCATAGAATATTTTGGTGGTTTTTATGTTTTGATTTGCAAGGATGTCATCTTCTCAATCATTGTTGTGTAAGGCTTTCTCTTGCTCTCGGTTTTGTAGAGCTTTCTTCTCCTTTTTGCTTGTTATGGTCTGAGACTTGTCTGTCTGTCTTAGAGTTGGTGGTATGGAAAAGGAGGTTCTTGTTAATGCACTTAACAAGGTTGGGTGTTCGGAAGATGGAGAGAACATTGATGATGAAATCAATAATAGGGAGGATGGTGATAAGTGGAATCGGTGCTTGGTGGGGAAAGTTCATGGAGATAAAGTGGTGAATCATGCAGCAGTCATGGGTGTCTTTCCGAAGTCATGGAACTTGAAGCGACCAGTGGTGGTGGAAGATTCACCTTAAGGCCATTTTCTATTTTTCTTCACCGATGAAGTGGACATACGATCAGTGTTGGACCGTGGCCCATGGGCAGTTGCTGGTCAAATTCTAGTCCTGAAGCGATGGATTGCAGGAGGATTGTTAGAAGAAATGGATTTTTCCAAAACTGAATTCACCATCCAAATACATGGTTTGCCATTGGATTGGCGCATCAGGAATGTTGGAGAAAAAATTGCAGCACGGGTGGGCAAAGTAGTAGCAAATAACTCATTGGATCTGCAGAAATGTTGGACTAGCCATGTCCCTGCGAAAGTGGAGATTGATTTGAATCAACCACTGAAGAAAAGCGTACTGGTGTATTGTAAAACAAGGAGTCCTATCTGGGTTGATATCAAATATGAGAGATTACCATTATTTTTTTACTATTGCGGGTGTATCGGCCATGATGAGAAGCATTGTATGGAGTGGGTAGAGAAGGAAAAGATGGAAAAGGATGAAGCTCAAAATTTTTGTTATGATGCATCATTACGTGCTGATCCACCAACTTTTTTTTGCCAGACCTCTAGATTTAGGAAACATGACAAGGGTGTCTCTCCGCCTGTTCAACATGTTACGTTCATTGCTCCGTCGGAGGCAACGACGAAGGGTGGTGAAAGTGTAGTGAATTTTGGGGCTGCTGGTGGAGAGTCGTTTGGTGGTGGCATTGAAAGTAGAGGAGATCGTGGCATGCAATCAGGACACGAACAAGCTGTTATGGCAAAATTGATGGCAAACAATATTGAAGAGGAACTTTTGGGGAAGTTTAAGGATCCTGAGGAGATTCCGAAAACATTTCTCTACAGTTCAAAGTTAGGGGCTGTAGGACCCTCAAAAAAGAGGAAAGTTGCGTCTTTCTATGACGTGGGGAATGAATTAATTCATCATTTGTGGGTGGGGGAGAATGGTGGGAAGGAGACTTGCGAAAAAGTTCCAGACCATAGAAGTAATGAGGTGGCAAGGAGTGGATGTACTGAATGTTCAAATTCACGGGCTTCGGTGGTTGTCCCTCTACAACTCGAGTGGACCCATGAGGATCTTAGCGTGGAACTGTAGAGGTTCGGGTTGCACCTCTACAGTTCAAGAACTCCAAGCACTCAATCGTATGATGAAGCCAGAATTTATTTTCACTTCTGAAACAAAAACATCTTAGAAAGAGGAGTAAATGTGCTTAGGAAGGTCGGCTTCCAACATTACTGTATTGTTCCATCCAAGGGGCGGAGTGGGGGTCTTTTGCTTGCATGGCAATCACACATTGATGTTAAGATCCTTTTTCAAGATGATTTTATGATTGCTGGTTTGGTTAATGGTGCTCCTCCAGGGGTGGAATGGTTGTTTTCAGGTGTTTATGGAGACCCAAGAAGGTCTGGTGGTAGGGTCTTATGGGAAATGCTTGAAGGCATTGCTGGGAATTATTTGGGACCATGGATTTGTTTAAGTGACTTCAATGCTATTGTCTGCGGTGATGAGAAGAGATGAGGGAAAAAAGGTATTGGTGCTAGCTCTTACCGGCTTGCTAAGGTTCAAGAGAAGTGCAATTTAATTGATCTGGGCTTTTGTGGGAGAATGTTTACTTGGACTAATGGTCGACAGGGGCTTGCCAATGTTGCAGAATGGTTTCATCGGGCATTGGTTAATGTTGAATGGAGGGAGTTATTTCCCCGGGCCATGGTCTTTCATCTTTCAGCCATTCAATTTGACCACTGCCCAATTTTAGTTGATACTGAAGGGGATGTGAAGCCCGAAAAAAAATTCTTTAAATTTGAAGCTATGTGGTTGAGGGATTCAAATTGTAGAGAGGTGGTAAAGAGTGCATGGGATGGGAACTCTATTGAAGGAGATGTAGGGAGGGGTTTAAGTGGTGTCAGGAAATCTCTGAGTAGATGGAACATAACTAAATTCAGCAATATCTTCAATCATATGAGGCGAATTCGGAGTGAAATCGATTCGCTTCAACAGTTGGACCACTCCCCTCATATAGCAGGTATGTTGCAATCACTATACTTACAGCTTCAAGAGCTCCAACGTAAGGATGAGCTATTTTGGATGCAACGTTCTCGTGAGTCGTGGCTCCGCTTAGGTGATCAAAATACTCGTTACTTCCATTTGACTACAGTTCAACATAGAAGACGTTCCTCTATTGATGGCCTTAAGAGGGTAGATGGCTCATGGACTTATGATAAGAATGATATTAGGAATATGTTTGTTGAGCATTTTAGTAACTTGTTCCAGACTTCCTCCCCAATTGTCGCTCCTGAGATTCTTGCATTACTGCAACCTATTGTCACAACTCAAGATAACGAAGACCTATGTAGACTTCCAAACAAGTATGAAATTGAGTTAGCTATCATGCAAATGGGCCCTTTTAAGGCCTCTGGCCCAAATGGTATGTTTGCTTTGTTCCTTCAAAAGTTTTGGGATTTGGTTGGTGATGATATTACACTGTGGATTCATGGTGTTTTTAATGGCAATACACTTGACCCAGATTTCACCCAAACAAATCTGGTTCTCATTCCTAAGGTTTCCCACCCAGTTGCAGTTAATGATTTTCAACCCATCAGCCTTTGCAATGTAATTTATAAAATTTTTGCTAAATTACTTGCAAATAGGATGCGACCACTATTGCATAAAATAATCTCACCTTGGCAAGCTACATTTGTCCCAGGCAAGCAAATTGCTGACAATGTTTTAGTTGCCCATGAAATTATTCATTTTATCAAGAAGAAAAAAAAGGAAAAAATGGTGTTTTTACTTTCAAGGTTGATATGTCTAAGGCATATGACAAGATTTAATGGGTGTTTTTCTTACCACAATTTTGCAAAAGTTGAGCTTTAATGAGAAGTTTGTCAAGCTTATTCACTTGTGCATTTCTACCCCCTCTTTTTCAATTCTGGTCAATGGAGAGAATTCTAATAAATTCTTTCCTCAACAGGGGTTACATCAAGGCGACCCTTTATCTCCATATTTGTTCATTATGTGCATGAATGCTCTATCTCTTTTGCTTTCAAAACTTGTTGAGGATAAGAAATTGTCTAGAATCAAGATTGCTCATGGATGCCTAATAGTCTCACACATGATGTTCGCTGATGATTTAGTAATTTTTGGCAAAGCCACGATACATGAGCTTGAAACTATAAAGAAGGCACTTCAGATTTTTTGTTGTAGTTTAGGGCAAGAAGTCAACTATGCAAAATCTGGTATTCTCATTAGTAAGAACGTGCATCACCATCTTCGTAATATGTTAGTTCATTTCCTGAAGGTGAAATGCATCTCACAAAGAGACAAATATTTGGGAGCCCCCCTATTAATAAGTAGAAACAAGAATGAAGTTTTTTCTTTGGTGGTAAAAAGGGTGTGTGACAGATTTAATGGTTGGTGTGCACGTACTCTCTCATTTGCAGGCTAGGTTGCACTTGTGAATCATGTGGTAATAGATATTCCTACTTACTTGATGTTAATACTTTCACTCCTCATAACAACATGTGATGACATAGAGAAGGTTATGCATCGTTTTATTTGGGGTGCTTCTGATTCGAACAATTTTTACCCGACAGTTTCATGGCAAAAGATATGCTTACCGAAAGTTGCAGGTGGCTTAGGTGTGAGACGAATAAAATACTTCAATGATGCTTTGTTAGCTAAGGTTGGGTGGAGAATCTTGACTGAGCAGGGTTCCTTATAGGTTTCAATTTTGAAGTCAAAGCATTTTCCATTTGAAGAGTTTTTGGATTGTGATCCTAAACGACATGACTGTTGGGTGTTGAAAGGTTTTTGTCGCTCAAGACATATACTTCGTGCGTGTTGTGTGCGCTGGGTGGGTAATGGTCACTCTATAAGTATATGGGGTTATCCATGGGTTCCCTCTCAACCAAATTTCAAATTACAGATCCCACCTACCAGTGTTCCAAATGGCATTTGTAGAGTTTGTGATCTTCTAGACTCTAATCGACAGTGGAGATTGGATCTTCTTCACAGATTTTTTTATTCGACTTCAATTCGAAACATCCTTAAGGTCCCTATCTCTATTAGATCAAGTGGTGGTGATGGTTGGTTGTGGTTGTTAGAGCGTAAGGGCATTTTTTCTATTAAATATGCCTACAAACATCTTTGCTCCATTTCAACTGATGCTCAAGACAGTGCATTTTGGAGGAAGTTTTGGAAATTGAAGATTTACCCAAGGATTCTACTATTCTTATGGAAAATATTACATGGAGGATTGTGCACACGAGACAAACTTTTTGGTGTTGGGCTTGAAGCATTATGCCCTTTTGGATGTAACCACATTGAATCACCAGAGCATTTATTTTGGGATTGTTCATTTTCAAGAGCTATTTGGTTTGGGTCTTCTTTATTGTCTAATCTAATTCTTACGACTATTGTGTTGTGGAAGATTTGGGACGCTCGTAACAAATGCATTTTCCAAGGGTATTCGGCTTAGCCAATGAATGTACTTTAGAGTGTGTATCGTTTCTGTGGGGAATGGAGTTTTATACAACAATTAACATATGTGGATGTGGAAGTTCAATACATTTGTAGAAGAAATGATCCAAAATGTGTCCCTGCTGACGTGGATGTTATTATTTATACTGATGTTGCGGTCATGGATGAATCTAGTGCTGCTGCATGGGTGATTATTGGGGTGAATAATAGGTTCATCCGGGCAGGAGTTACTCCATCTCCTCTTAGTGATGTTGAAGGTGTGGAAGCTTGTGCCATTCTCTTTGCTTTATTGCATTGTTCTGCATTTCATCATCAAAAAATCTGTGTAGTAAATGACAATCTCAATGTGATCAACCTTACAAGGAAAATTGCTCTCTTCGTCATGGGCTGCTCAACCAATTATATCTGACATTAAGAATATTGTTGTTTGTTTTGATTATTTGCGTTTTGTTCATGTGCATAGATTTTTTAATTTGATTTCTCATACTTTAACTACAAGGTTTAGGGGAATTTAACATAATCTGTTTGGATTTCTCCTCCTGATGTATTCGTGGACATTTTTAGCAATTGAAAATTTAGTTGCAACAAAAATAAAACAAAAATGATAGTCAACATGTTAGGTATCTTAAATATAAGCCAAAGGAGTGTAAATGTGGAAGGAGGGCTATCATTCGAGTTTTGGAAACAAGTTATAATACGACTATGATATTTTACAGCTACCCAATTAATTTTGTAAGCAATTAAGAGCATTTGTATGTATTCAAATTAATTATTGTTATGAGATGTTGACTTCTTTGCATTTGATTGTATTCAGGGCAGCATACCTCCTCCATGCAATTTCTTTCAATGGGCAGTTCCCTTAAACTTTTCTAATGAAGGCAATTCAACAACGAATCACCTAGAAAGCTGCATTGCAAAGCTTCATGAACTAGTAGTTGGTTTTGACTGTCATATTAAGGCTATGCAGTCCTCCCAAGAAGTAGTTATTGAAGGGTTAAGGACCATGAGGGTCTTACTCATTGTGTTAATTGCTATATTTTTTGGCATGTATATGTACAGGAATTAGAGTTATATGTACAATAAGTAGTTAATAAACTGTATCCCGATGAAATTATAGTCTGGAACTTAATCCCTTTGTGGATGGGAAGGGTTAATAGAATGTAGTAGCTCTATTATAATTGTTGTTACTTTTGCCATTGTATTCAAGTTAAGCAACTAACTAGCAGAGGGTCCCTACTTCGTAGGGGCTAGAATGGAACCATCAATCCGTCGACCCATTGACCCATTAACCCAGTCCCTGGCCAAAAATCATTGAATCGATCAACGACCAATTGACCCAAGCGGTCGAACCATCAACCCGTTGACCCATAAAATGGTTTTTGTTTTTGTTTTTTTTTTAATTGGGAACCATCCAAGTAACTGGTTCCGTTTTATTCTAATCTCAATCCTTGGCCAAAAAACGTTGAATCGACAATGACCCATTGACCCGGGTGGTCGAACCATTGACCCATTCAATGGTTTTGGTCATTCATTTATATTTTTTTTATTTTTGTTGTTAGAACAAGCCATCTATTCGAATTGAATAGTTGAACCGTCGACTCGAAAACCGGTGGTCATAATGATTCCGTTTTCAGGTCGTATGAGTCATACGCTCAAATGACATAACACGTATGGTACTACTTAATGGACCTCACACACTCAATTTTTTGCCTGTAATTTTTGTTTTCAGAACGGGTCATCCGTTTTTTTATTTATTATTTTTAATTGGGAACTGTCCAGGCAATTAGTTTCGTTTTACCCCAATCCCGATCCCTGGCCAAAAACCGTTGAATCGGTCAATGACCCATTGTCCCGAGTGGTCGAACCGTCAACCCATTGACTCGTTCAATGGTTTTTTGCCGTTTTTTATTTTTTTTTAATTTTTGTTGTCAAAACGGGCTATCCGTTTGAATTGGACGGTCAAACCATTGACCCAAAAACCGGTGGCCAGAACGGTTCCACTTTTGGGTCGTATGAGTCACACGCTCGAAAGACATAACATCATGGTTTTTAAAACTGACCCAGAGACCGAACTGGTCAGGGGTCTGGTTACCAGGTCTAGTTATTAACAATATTTATAATAACTATTATATATTTATATAATTAGATAATTAAATATATATCTAATTATCTAACAATATTTATATAATTAATAGGAAATGGGTTGCTCTCACGTGGGAATCTACTCGGTAGATTCCATTTCCTACATGTAGTGAAGTTCCAATGGTTAGTGTCCAACAATAACCGTATTCCATTTTTTTGCATGATCTCTATTTGGAATGACCAACCTTGCGCGTGAGATCCAATTGTTGGTTAAAGTGAGGAGGGATTGCCTATCAATAATAGGTACCTTGGAACAAGTTACCTTATACAAATAACCCTTCATTAATATGAAAAAAGATTGTAAAGTGATCAACATTAGCATTCTCACACCAATACAAACAAGGGGACCGCACCCATTCAACATTAGCATTCTTGTAAAGTCATCCCATCACCATTTACAAAAAAAGTTGAAGCAAAAAATAAACAACAGTTCTTCCACCACCCGTCTAAATATTGTGGTTATCATATTAACACAAACCTATAAAACATTACTCCCACATCCACCATTAAAAAAACAGAAGAACAAAAAAAAAATCATAAACTACAATTGCAAATGGGGTTCAATTCTCCTTTTTGTAGTAGCTTTATGGTTAGAAGCCCACACATGTCAATATCCATCCAGTAGTCCCCTGTATCATTAACGGAATAAGTCATTATTTGATCAAATGCATTTCAACAAAATCATACGAGCATTAAGTTCAATAAACTACAAACAAACCTGCTACTCCCTCACCCTTCTGGAGAGAGGAGAAAAAGAGAGGAGAGAGAGAGAGGGGGGAGAGGGGAGAGGAGAGAGAGCTAGAGGGAGGGAGAGGGGAAATCTGATCAGTTGATAGTTGATTAGAAATCTGAACTGATCCCCTCCCCCTCCCTCCCTTCCCCTCTCTCTCTCTCCCTTTCCCTCTATCTCTCTCTCCTCTCTCCACCCCCTCCCTCTCTCCCATAGAGGGAGAGAGAGAGGGAGAGTAGAGAGAGAGAGAGAGCTAGAGGGAGGGGGAGGGGAAATCTAATCAGTTGATCAGAAATCTGAACTGATCCCCTCCCTCTTCCTCCCTTCCCCCTCCCTCTATCTTTCTCTCTCCTCTCTCTTCCCCCTCCCTCTTTCCAATCTCTCTCTCATCTTTCTCTCCCTCTCCCTGTATCTGATTAGACATAGGGAAAGGGAGATAGAGAGGAGAGAGAGCTAGAGGGAGGGGGAGGGAAAATCTGATCAATTGATCAGAAATCTGAACTGATCCCCTCCCCCTCYCTCCCCCCCCCCTCCTTTCCCCTCTCTCTCTCTCTCTCCCCCTTCCTCTCCCTCCCTCTCCTTGTATCTGATCAGATGCAGGGAGAGGGATGGGAGATAGAGAGTGGAGAGGAGAGAGAGAGCTAGAGGTAGGGGAGGGGAGGGGAAATATGATCAGTTGATCAAAAATATGAATTGATCCCCTCCCCCTCCCTCCCTTCCCCTCTCTCTCTCCCCCTCCCTCTGTCTCTCTCTCCTCCCCATCAGATACAGGGAGAGGGATGGGAGATAGAGAGTTGAGAGAAGGGAGAGGAGAGAGCTAGAGGGAGGGGGAGGGGAAGTCTGATTAGTTTATCATAAATCTGAATTGATCCCCTCCCCCTCCCTCTGTCTTTCTCTCTCTCCTCTCCCTATATCTGATCAGGTACAAGGAGAGGGATGGGAGATAGAGAGTAGAGAGAAGGGAGAGGAGAGAGAGAACTAGAGGGAGGGGGAGGGGAAATCTGATCAGTTGACTAGGTTTCTGATCAATTTTCCATGCAGACTACTAGAGAAACAGGGGCACTAAAAGAATCTATTTTCTTCTGGTTTATGTCATCAATAGTGATGTTGAAAGCAGTAAATCCATGGGTTCTTAATTCATAATGCCTTGGCAGGATAATATTAGAGATTTGGAATCCCTTGAGCATGTTTTACATGTACTAGATTGTACAAGTAGCCAAGACAACTCTTTTACAATTGAAATGGGAGAGGAGGGGGTTCTAATCAGTTGACTAGGTTTATGATCAACTAATCAGAACCCCTCCCCCCTCTCTCCCTTCCCTCTCCCTGTATCAGATACAGGGAGAGGAGAGAGAGACAGAGGGAGGTGGGAGAGAGAGGGGGTTCTGATCAGTTGACTAGATTTCTGATCAACTGATCAGAACCCCTCCCCCCTCTCTCAATCCCCTCTCCTCTCTCTCTTTCTCTCACCTCTCTTTACTCTCTATCTCCCTCTCCCTATATCTGATCAGATACAGGGAGAGGGAGAGGATAGAGAAACATAGGGAGGTGGGAGAGAGATAGGGGAAGGGAGGGGGATCAGATCATATTTCTCCTCCCCCACTCCCTCCCTCTCCCTCTTCCTGTATCTGATTTTCTGATTTACTCTCTTTCATATAGATTAGAAAACCACATCATCCTTATAAACAAACAAAACAAAGTCAGATGTGAAGCAAAAGTAACCATCAAAGTTAGAAGTTAAGACCCAAGTTAGAATTTCATTTCACCTTCTAGAACCATGCATATTACTATGTAGGATGACCACAATCCATGTTAAAGCTCTCCTGCAACAATGTTCATACACCGGGGTTAGTTAATGTCTGTCTCCAAACTCTTGGCTCAGAATTGGCATACAATTGTAATGAGAGTAAAGTAAAGACCATACAACCTAAGAATAAAAATCAACAACTATATTTAGCACTTGGGATCGTGGTAGTTGCAGATAACTAATCTAGTGAGAAATTTCAACACTTGAAGTACTAGTATGAGATGATGGTCCACCCCTCTAGTTTGATGACCCACCCCTACATGTCAATGATCTACCCCTCGTATTGGTGGTTCTGCCCCGAGGTTGTCTTTGTGCCCTCAATGATGATGATGTTTGTGATGGGCCTATATTTGATGCCTGACCCCGACTCATTGTAGTACCACCACCCATAACACCATCAGCCCTATTCTCAAAATTTCCCTGATGTCGGCCCCTACAACCTCTGATGTTGTGTCCCGTCTGCCCACATCTAGAACATGTTATAAATTTGCTCATCTGTGTCACACTATGTCCACTTATCAATTCATCGGGTCCCTTCCTCATTCATTTCCTTGGCCTTCCTGGTTGTGGCCTGATGGAGGGTGGGGTGATAGGTACTGGTTAATGTACAATGGGCCACTGAGACTCATTCGGGATTGGGACAATTATGTTGCTATAGGATACATCTTTGAGTGGTGTAAATGGGATCAACGTAATTGTATACACACTCCTTCTGCATCTTTATGGAAGAAATTGCATGTGCACATGGTATCCCTGTGAGTGCCCACCACCGGCATGAATAAGTTCTCCTCTCAAGATTTACAACTGCTCTCCTATCGAAATACATCACCTCAAATGTGGACATCCCAGCATATACTGGAAAATAGTTATGGGCATGTTCTTCAAGCCATTATATCTTATTCCTGACATTGGGGAAAACAGGTCCATTGTCATTTGTGAGTTGTTGATGTCTTCTATGGACTAAAGACATCAACTACCTCCTGATAGTCTCCACCAATGTAATAATAAGCTTGTCACGAGCATCTAATATCCATTTGTTGAATGACTCTAAGTTATTACAAATGTCATCATTGTGGGCTCTTGGTCCAAAGGCTAACCTGTACTACAATGCCGAGGGCACCCTTCTCAACCAGTCACGAGTATCTTTGTTCAATTCTTTCATTTTATCCATGCACCAATCAAACTCGTCAAATGTGTATACACTAGCAGCCCCCCCATAAACAATCCCTCAGATCCTTCCCCTTGAAAAAAAGTTTAAAGTTGGCATATATATGCCTCACACAAAAGTGGTGCTCAGAACTCGGCAACAACCTCTCAAAAGTTTCCACAAGTCCTTGCAACATAACACATAAACCCAAGTAAGAATGTTAATATATATGTATATATGCACATATAAAATGTAAAATACATAAATGCACTAGTATAATACCTTCTGCCTATCAGAAATAAATCCAACCATGCTCCTCTAGTCCTCCAATT